CTGCTGGTCGCTGTGCGCGATGGTGGAAAACCGCCCCTCTCGGCCACAGCCACTCTGCTCCTGGTCTTCGCGGACAGCCTACAGGAGGTGCTGCCAGATCTCACGGATCATCCTGTCCCTTCTGACCCCCAGGGCGAGCTGCAGTTTTACCTGGTGGTGGCCTTGGCCTTGATCTCTGTGCTCTTCCTCCTCGCAGTGATTCTGGCTATTGCTTTACGATTGCGACACTCTTCCAGCCATTCAGTCAAGAGCTGCTTTGGGTCAGTTCTCTGCTCAAAGCCTGGACCTGTGCTTCCCCCCAACTACAGTGAGGGAATGTTGCCCTATGCCTATAATTTGTGTGTGCCAGGGAATCAAACAAACCCAGAAGTTAATTTTCTCACATCTGTTGATCACTGTCCAGCGGCACAAGATATTTTCAACAAAGATAGCTCTTCCATGCTACTGGCTAGCATTTTAACTGCCAGTATTGAAGCAGACAAGACGACATTTAACAAGGTATTTAAAATAATGCTTTTTATATTCCAGTGTGCCAATATATTCCAATATAATGCTGTTATTGGTAAGGTCCTAATATAAATCTAAATGAAACCTTTGGATATCACTATTAAGACAAAAATTTGCAATACTTGATCTTCCTATTATACAAAAACGTTTTAAGGTAAGTTTTTGAGGACTGGGATTGTAGCCTAGTGATAAAGTACATGCTTAGCATGCTTGAGGCCTTGGGTTCCACCCATAGCACCATACATACAATACACAGAGATGAAATCTCAGGGGAAATTTTCATGAAAATAGACTTGGTTAGGGATATAGTATACAGTTATATTCTTTTGATATTTCAAATGACAATCCAAATAATATTCTAATTTTATGAAACGTTTCATCTTTATGTTACTCAAAAAAAGGATAAGAATTAGCCATGCATCCTACCTGATGATCTTGTGTGGACCATGTTATTTCTACATCCACAAATTCCAGCTCCTGTCAATCAGTAGAATAAATTAAAACTTAACCTGCAAGTTATTAGTTCCAGTAGTATTTTTTGAAAACTTCAAAAAAATTAAACAAGCCCTTTTAATAATCTCTGCTTTCATAAGTGCTCTCGGTAAACTTCTGTCATCACATCACATTGCATAACTATTGTTTGCGATTTTAAGCTTTACAAGTACGTATGAGTCACGAAAAGGTAAGTGTAATAATTTCTTTATGTAACAAGACCAAGTTTTTCTTAATCATTGCAATAATAAGATTGGGCTCTAGGCGCCGCTGTTCACCAATCAGGGAATGGGAGGCAGAGAGACACTGAGTTCCCCTCCCCGACCTCTACCACACAAAGCAGAATGAGATGGACACTCACCGATCCTGATGCTGGAAACTTAAAAGCGCTGTCTTCGGCTTTCTAATATATTTTGGATGCGGAAGGCCTGGGAAACAAACTGGCTCAAGACACTACGGATTATTTGCTCAGACCCTGCCATGGAAAATCCGCAACTGCGTAAGGATCGCAGCGGGCTGCTCCTGCTGTGCTTTATCCTGGGGACGCTGTGGGGTTTGGGGGACGGGCAGATCCGATACTCTGTGCCGGAAGAGACCGACAGAGGTTTCTTTGTGGGCAACATCTCCAAGGACCTGGGGCTAGAGCCTCAGGAGCTGGCGGAGCGTGGAGTCCGCATCGTCTCCGGAGAAAAGACGCAGCTTTTCGCTCTGAACCCGCGAGGCGGCAGCTTGGTCACCGCGGGCAGGGTAGACCGGGAGGAGCTCTGTGAGACGGTATCCTCCTGCTTTTTAAGTATGGAGATTCTCGTGGAGGACACCTTGAAGATTTATGGCGTGGAGGTGGAAATAATTGATATTAATGATAACGCCCCTACCTTCCGGGAAGAGGAAGTAGAGATAAAAGTCAGTGAGCACGCAACTCCTGGATCGCGATTTCCTCTTCCTAACGCTAGGGATCCGGATGTGGGGGCGAACTCTCTCCAGAGCTACCAGCTCAGCCCTAATAGTTACTTTTCTTTGCAAGTGCGAGGGGGAGCTGATGGGGTCAAGAATCCGGAGCTGGTGCTGGAGGGAGGCCTGGACCGGGAGAAAGCAGCAGCTCACCACCTCCTCCTCACAGCGGCAGATGGAGGCGATCCCATCCGCAAGGGCACCATTCCCATTCGCGCGGTGGTCCTCGATGTAAATGACCACATCCCAAAGTTTACACAGCCTGTGTATCAGGTGAGTGTTCCCGAAAACCTCAGCTCAGGAACTCGGGTGCTCGTGGTAAACGCAACAGATCCAGACGAAGGGACAAACGGGGAAGTGATGTATTCATTCCGAAATATGGAAAGCAAAGCTTCTGAAATATTCCAGATGAACTCGAAAACTGGAGAAGTTCTAGTACAAGGACCTCTTGATTTTGAAAAATACAAATTCTATGAGATGGAAATTCAAGGCCAAGATGGTGGAGGGCTTTTAACCACTGCTAAGATGTTGATCACAGTTGTAGATGTGAATGATAATGCCCCAGAAATTACTATTACCTCTTCTGTTAATTCATTGCTGGAAAATTCTCCTCCAGGTTCAGTAATTGCTCTTCTAAATGTGCGAGATCGAGATTCTGGAGAAAATGGTCAGGTCTCCTGTTTCATTCCTAATAATCTTCCTTTTAAATTAGAAAAGACTTATGGAAATTATTACAAGTTGATAACAAACAGTGAGCTGGACAGAGAGCAAATCCAGAGCTACAATGTAACACTGACAGCCAAAGACCAGGGAAGCCCACCCTTGTATACAGAAGCTCACCTCTTGCTGAATGTGGCAGATGACAATGATAACCCTCCAGTTTTCTCCCAATCCTCTTACTCTGCCTATATTCCTGAAAACAACCCCAGAGGAGCCTCCATCTTCTCAGTGACTGCTGTGGACCTGGACAGCAAAGAGAATGCCCATGTCACTTACTCTCTAATGGAGGACACTATCCAGGGAGTGCCTCTATCCTCCTATGTATCTATTAATTCAGATACAGGCATCCTGTACTCACTGCAATCCTTTGACTATGAACAGTTCCAAAACTTGCAACTGAGAGTGGCTGCACGTGACAGCGGGAACCCACCACTCAGCAGCAATGTGTCGCTGAGCCTGTTTGTGCTGGACCAAAATGACAACACCCCTGAGGTCCTGTATCCCACCATCCCTACAGATGGTTCCACTGGTGTGGAGTTGGCACCCCGCTCAGCAGAGCCTGGTTATCTAGTAACCAAGGTGGTGGCAGTGGACAGAGACTCTGGACAGAATGCCTGGCTGTCCTACCGCCTGCTTAAGGCCAGCGAGCCAGGGCTTTTCATGGTGGGGCTGCACACAGGCGAGGTACGCACAGCCCGGACACTGTTGGACAAAGATGCGCTCAAGCAGAGCCTCGTGGTGTCTGTCCAGGACCATGGCCAACCTCCCCTGTCGGCCACCATAACGCTCACAGTGGCGGTGGCTGACAGCATCCCAGAAGTTCTGGCCGACTTGGGGAATCTGGAGTCTTCGGCCAATCCTGATGAATCAGGCCTCACACTCTATCTAGTTGTGGCCATCACCGCAGTCTCCTGCATCTTCCTCATTTTCGTCATCGTGCTGCTGGCACTCAGACTTCGGCACTGGCACTCCTCTCGCTTTCTCCAGGCAGCAGGCAGTGGATTAGCAGGTTTACCCACCTCAAATTTTGTAGGTGTGGACGGGGTGCATGCTTTCCTGCAGACCTATTCCCATGAGGTCTCACTCACCAAGGACTCGAGGAAAAGCCACTTGATCTTCCCGCAGCCCAACTACATGGACACCCTTATCAGCCAGGGGAGCTGTGAGAAAAGCGAGCCTCTCTCGATAGACTCAGCTACCATTTTGGGCAAATATGACCCAACAAATAATCAGGTGAGATCTATTTCTCTGCCTCCCAATTTTTTATATCTTGCCACAAGTCTTTTAAGGGAATTTTTGCTGAGCCTGTTATGAAAACTGGGGTTTGGGTAAACATAGTTCATACATATTTAGAGTGATGCATGTGAGTTTGTGTACTTTACCTTTTATCGGATTGCCATCAGCTTTCAGAAAGGCTTGTGAAAGTGTGAAAGTCTCATTTATATTTTTAGACCTGGCATATTTTCCTTTGATTAGAAAGGATCAGTTCAACTACCATGGCTTGCTTTGCAATAAGGTGAATTTTAGTATTATTTTTCTATCATCATTGTCTGTCGCTATCAGTGCAAACTGATCATGATTCAAACTAATGATTTACAAACATTTTATTTATTTCAATTTCACAGTGTCTATTTCAATTTCTCAGTATCTCCATTGATTTATAGTTATATCCTACCAGCCTGTACTATTACTTCTAATGTTCACATTTAACCTTGTTGATGTAGTAGTACTCTCTCCTTGGCTCTTTCTGATTTATTTATCTGTGCACACATGAGTATACATATAGGCTTTTTTCTGAGCATGAAATAATTCTATTTTACTTTTTGAAGGCTGGTAATATATTTAGATCTTGTTGACTTTCAACATTGTCTCATTTCTTTATGCTATCAAAACAGACATATTAACTAGGTTTTCTTGGAGAGAAAATGCAGAATTCTTTTTTTTTAAGTTCCAGATATCTTTTCTATTACTATAGGAAAGTCATTAGATTGTTCTTAAAGAAATAATTGAATTGTTGGGCTGATGTTATTTCCTTTCATTCTTTTACTTTAATGTCTTTGTAGATAGCTTTTGTTGTAGCAGATTCACTTGTGGAAATCATTTTAATCCAGGGTTTCTCAAAAAATTGTTTTCAAATATGCTAAAAATGGTTTCACTTTTCAGTTTCTTCCAGTGGAACAGGTGAGGTGAGCGAAGGTATTAGGATTTTAAAGAGACTGATATAAGTTCTAGGGGTATGGCTCAGTGGTAGAGCATGTGCTTCCTGGAGGTGAACTGTGGGGGGATGGGGGACTGAGTATTCCTCTGAATATTTTTTGTTCATTTTCAGTTTACCTAGGAGTGATGGATTCTTCTCTCTCTTTCTTCTGTCTTTCTTTCTTTTTTCTTTCTTTTATAAGCACATTTTGTATTACATATAAGTATATTGAATTACAGTCTTTAGAAACAACTTGTTATTGAAGTCTTGGTGGTTATCTAATTACATTCATGTTATCTGAAGCAAGATCTAGGAAAGCCAGGTGAGGTGGAGACATGTATGGGCTGTTTGATCACAGGATTCATTTCCATAATCAGTTTAGCTCAGCACTCTCCCACTGGCTTCTAAGTCTTTGACCCAAATTATGTGTATGTTGTATGTTAATGTTCCCTTTCAAGTTCCCTTAAGAGGTGACCTTCTTATAATTAACTGGAAATTGATTAGTTCTTGGACAAAAAATTCCAACAGCAGGAAAGGCAAACCTTCTAACAGATGCCTAAGTTTGTCTGGGAGTCAAGAAAAATTAATGAAAAGTATATAATATACTTGACTGGAAGAGGTAAGTCATTCCATGTTTTTAAGCACAGTCTAAACTAGTTAACAGTGGATAACCAATATCTTGGAGAACAAAAAGGAAAGATTGGCTTTGAAACTTGGTATTAAGGTTATTTTGATTTGGAGGTAGTTATAAAGTTTTGTGAGGCTGCAATATATAATCTATTTAAATAAAAGGATAAAAATACCCTTAATTTCATGTCATTAAATTTTTATGGGTAATTCCTACACTAAAATTTACATTCTGTATGATGAACATGTAAACACATAATAATCACTTTCATAAATCTTGACTATAAGTAATTAGGAAGATTTTTATGGCATTGGCCATCTTTATTTTGAATGTGTATGTAGCTTCAGGTACTTGTCTGATAAAAAGAGAACATTTTTGCATATGAGAGTGAAGGTAATACAAGGTGTCATTTTATCTTTATCGTTGTCAAAATTTTCCTATACCACTTGGTGGGGCTATTTTTCCACGTGGTCTTTGTTAATCTGGAGAAGACTTTCCCTGATTCTTCCAGTGTGTCCATTTTCTTTGATTAGGAAAAGACAGATTTCTCCTGTTAACTAGATTAATGGCTCTACTATAGATCCCATCACTAAGGAACTTTCTTTGATACTAAGCACTGGAAAACAGACACATTCAAAACTCATAAACTGCTTCAGTCCTTACACATAAGCCCAATTTATCTGTGGAAAATGGAATCCCATTGAATTTGCAAAAGCTTCAGACTGCAGTTTTCTAAATAGTCTCTGAGCGCCGCTGTTGACCAATTCTCTGCAAGAGCTGGCTCCCCGGAGTTTATCTGCGCAGTCACAAAGCAAGGCTGGGAGGAGAGTGTACCAGACTTGGGTTTTCTGCTTGGCAAATCTAACTCCATAGAGTTTGGGGGTACCCAAAAACTAGGATCATTGGATTTTCAAAGCCATTTGTGAAGAATCTTCTGTTAGCATCGCAAGCTGCAACAACACTCAAGAAGGATGGAATACAGAGGGAAGCAAAGACGCTGGAGGCGGCAAGTACTCTTTCCCTTCCTTCTGCCTTTGTTCAGCGAGGCGCTCGCTGAGCAGATCCGCTATTCTATTCCGGAAGAAATGGCCAGGGGCTCAGTAGTAGGGAACCTTGTTGAGGACCTGAGGTTGCCTATTGGGAATTTACTTGCCCGAAACCTCAGAGTTAGTGCAGAGAAACAATACTTTACCGTGAACACTGAGAATGGGAACATCCTTGTGAGTGACAGAATAGATCGGGAGTTTCTCTGTCCTCTGAGCTCTCTGTGTGTAATACCATTAGAGATTGTAGCAGAAAATCCTCTAAATGTTTTTCACATAAATGTGCTAATAGAAGATATAAATGACAATCCACCTCATTTCCCCGAAAATACCATTGTTTTACAAATCAATGAATTTGCACTTCCAGGCACTAGATTTGGCCTGGAATCTGCTATCGATGCAGATGTAGGGCCTCATTCTCTTCAGAGTTACCAGCTCAGCCCTAATGAACATTTCTCTCTCATGGTGAAGGACAAGACTGAAGACAAGAATGTCCCAGAATTAGTGTTGGAGAAGTCCCTGGACCGGGAACAACAGAGTTCCCATCTCTTGTTCCTGACTGCAGTGGATGGGGGAGACCCTGTCCTAACTGGGACTGCTCAGATTAAGATCAAGGTCACTGACGCCAATGATAATCCCCCGGTGTTCACTCAGAATGTGTACAAAGTCAGCCTCAGAGAGAACGTGCCCCCAGGCACCTCCATGCTACAGGTGACAGCTATTGATCAGGACGAGGGTGCCAATGCAGAGATCACCTACTCCTTCAAGTCCCTAAGAGATGGTATTGGAAATAAGTTTATACTAGACCACAAAAATGGAGAAATTAAATCCAAAGATCCTATAGACTTCGAAATCAATAGAAGTTATACCATGAGCATAGAAGCAAAGGATGGTGGAGGCATGGCCACTGAATGTAAAATTATCCTAGAAATTCTAGATGAGAACGACAATGTCCCCGAAGTGATTTTTACTTCAGTGTCCAGTTCCATAACCGAGGATGCAGAACCCGGAACGGTGATCGCTCTGTTCAAATCATACGATAAAGATTCTGGGGAAAATGGAGAGATCACATGTCTCATAAAAGAAAAAGTTCCATTTAGAATCGAAACCTCTGCCCATAATTACTACAAGCTTGTAACAGATGGGCCCTTGGACCGAGAGAAGACCGCAGAGTACAACGTCACTGTCACCGCTACTGACAAGGGCAAGCCTCCCCTGTCCTCCAGCGCCAGCGTCACCCTACACATTGGTGATGTCAATGACAACGCTCCAGTTTTCCACCACGCCTCCTACTTGGTCCACGTGGCTGAGAACAACTCTCCCGGAGTTTCCATCGCTCAGGTCAGTGCCTGGGACCCAGATCTGGGACCCAACGGCCAGGTTTCCTACTCCATCGTGGCCAGTGACCTGGAGCCTAGGACGCTGCTGTCCTACGTGTCCGTGAGCGCACAGAGCGGAGTGGTGTTCGCGCAGCGCGCCTTCGACCACGAACAGCTGCGCGCCTTCGAGCTGAC